ACACAAAAATCTCTTCCCCCCCCCCATACCTCCTCTCTACCCCCTCCCACACACAGAACTCACTGATGAGCGCTAAACGATACTAACCTGGCAGCACTAACGAGGGTGAGTAATTAATTACAGTCATTCACGACTACAGTCTTTGTAGCATGGGCCTGATTAGATGATAAGGCGACGTAGTAATCGTAGCGCATTGTGGTAAAATCCCATGCTCGTCAACAAAACAATGAAAGCGAAGATACCGACACCCCCCCCCCCCCAACTTCCGTTGAGCCATTTTTAACAGTTTTTTTATGTAGGAGGAGGGGAGGTTGGCTTCGGTCTTCGCTCAAATCCATTTATGTTACAATAGACACATGCCTACGTGGGTTTTACTTTTAAAAAACGACAATGACCAAAGGCACCTACATGTAAATTAAATTGCAGTTTCGAAGGACTCTCATGCTTTGGAAGCCACCAAATTTTGGCTGCCATTTTCTCACAAATTTCTCCTCTGACACCACGCGACACCCATCCCCTTCAGTCGAAAATATCTCGACTTCTATCCAAGATAAAAGAGCAATGTTTTCACCACAAACCAGACAGATGCACAAGCTTCAAGACAATATCAACAACAAACTCCACATTATTCCCAGAAAATGATGAGCACCTGATTCCACCGCGTCGTGACACAATTGTTCGGCGTAGTAATCCTGATCATCTCCCTAGTAACGCCTGAGCTACGACAATGTAGAGGTGAGCAAAATCCGGATAATAATATCATATAAAGGTAACCGGACAATTCTCAAGGAAACATCATCCAAATTCAAACTCTTAACTCTCTTTCCTGACCCGTTCGCCGAAGTGGGTGCACCCAATTGTTAAAGTAGTGCTAACCTGTTTGTGAAAGTGGTTCTAACCCGTTTGCCAAAGCGGTTCAGATCATATTATCTGCCGAAGAGGTGCACTAACATTATTATTATTATCCGGATTTTGCTAAAGCGACTCATTGCCCAGCCCTGTACGACAGGTACTATTTATAGAGCCACCCTCTTTGGGGTATGGCTGAACCATATCACGTATAGCCTGCTCACTTTCGTCTGTCCATATAAAAAACAAAACAAACAGCCAAAACAAAACCCCACGTACTAGCCCATCAAGTAATATGCCAAAGAGCACGTAAATTTTCGTGGCGCTCTTGTAGGTCAATTACCAAACAAAAATAGTTTTTTTTTTCTTCATTTATAAGTCAGGTAATTGAATTAATTTGTTTGTTTGTTTGTTTGTTTACATGAGTTCATCCATCTTCTTCTCCTCGTTCATCGTTTATTTGAGTAAAGAGACGCACATCGACACAATGACGGTCATGTAGTGCAGGGGAAAAGTAAGACGGACAGACAGAAACAACAGAGGGAAAATAACTACGTTTTTAATAAACATATTATTGTTTGGTCGCTAGCCTGCAAAGGTGCCATGCAGAGTTTCGTGGGCATAGCTAGGTAAATTAAATTACTAAATAACCTAGATTTTTCTTAACGCGATCAAAGGAAATAGAACAAGCTATACCTTATGTAATTAATGTGCCAATGTGAACGTAACTTTGCACGGCCCTCGTGTAGGTCAGTGAGCAAACAAAAATGTGTCACGACGCAGTGGAATCAGACACTCGTCAATTTTTGGGCATATGGAAATGTATTTTTTGGTAGACGTAAAAGAGGTCAATTCAAAAAACAAATTCGAAAAAATTTCCAATTTAGAGATAAATGCCAATTTCTCTGATTTTTTAATTTTGACCAGTGCCTGATAGGGAACTTAATTAATTAATTTGTTTGTTTGTTTACATGAGTTCATCCATCTTCTTCTCCTCGTTCATCGTTTATTTGAGTAAAGAGACGCACATCGACACAATGACGGTCATTTAGTGCAGGGGAAAAGTAAGACGGACAGACAGAAAGAACAGAGGGAAAGTAACTACGCTTTTAATAAACATATTATTTTTGTTTCGTCGCTAGCCTGCAAAGGTGCCATGCAGAGTTTCGTGGGCATAGGTAAATTAAATTACTAAATAACCTAGAATTTTTTTAACGCGATCAAAGGAAATAGAACAAGCTATACCTTATGTAATGAATGTGTCAATGAGAACGTAACTTTGCACGGCTCTCGTGTACGTCAGTGAGCAAACAAAAATGTGTCACGACGCAGTGGAATCAGACACTCGTCAAGTTTTGGGGGATAATATGGAGTTAATGGTTGAATCTTAAAGCTTGTTGATTTGTCCTTCTTTCGGTGAAAATTTTACTCACATCTATCTTGAATAAGTCGAGATATTTCGGATTGAATAAGGAGGTAGGGGTAACCTGTTTTCTGGGGTAAATTCGAGAGAAAATGGCTGCCAAAATTTGGCAACTTCTTTAGCTTGAGAGTCTTTGAAAACTCA